CAAAAGGGTGTCCAACCATTTTCTCAGGCTGGCAGTCAGGTGCCCAGGAGCAAAAGCACAGAGCACGAGGGGCCAGCAGTGTCCCAAAGGGAAGAAGGGAATCCCACGTTAGTAAATCTGTTGGCAAATGAGGCTCATTAACAGATAAATATTTCACTGCTTCCTTTAGGGCGGATAAACAGCGCGCCCCTGATTAAGGAAAGGAAGCTGGGAGACCTTGACTTTATTCGAACCACATGGTTCCAGTTTGCTGTGGCATTCTCGCTGCAGCTGGAAGCGACGCTGCGCCGGCCCCATCTGGATCCGAGTCTAAGCCGGCCTGTCGCCCGCTGGACCTGGGTGGGAGGAGACATGGGCGAGAGTCGATTTACCCAGAGCTGAGTGAGACATGCCCATCAGGCCACCGTAAGGCGCGTGGGTGCTCGGGGTGCAGAGATCCTTCCTGGGCTGGGTCAGTGGGCAGAAGAGGGGCAGAGAGGACCCGCAGTCTTGGTCTAAGGCTCGGTGATGGGCAAGAACGGGTAGCACCCTCCCGGCCCCACGCTGCCTCTGCAGGCCAGGCGTCCAGGGTGGCGCTGGGCTGAGCGCTCCCACGGAGTCTGGGGTCCTTTTCCCCGCAGGTCCCACCAGGCCGGCCGGGCGCGGGCAGATTTGTTGGGCACGTATCTGAGCCCTTTCCCCTTCCATTCTAGGCTGCTGCGGGCCCCGCAGAGCGAGACCACCTGTGAGGGCTGCGGAGATTGGCGGAGGCGATCATGTGGGCGGTCACGTGCTGCGGCGAGCTCCGTCCAAAAGAAAATGGGGTTTGGTGTAAATCTGGGGGTGTAATGTTATCATATATCACGCTACCTCGTAAAACCGACACTGAAAGCTGCCGGACAACAAATCACAGGTCAAAATTATGAGTTCTTCGTATTATGTGAACGCTCTTTTTAGCAAATATACGGCGGGGGCTTCTCTGTTCCAAAATGCCGAGCCCACCTCTTGCTCCTTTGCGCCCAACTCGCAGAGAAGCGGCTACGGGGCGGGCGCCGGCGCCTTCGCTTCGACCGTGCCGGGCTTGTACAATGTCAACAGCCCCCTGTATCAGAGCCCTTTTGCGTCCGGCTACGGCCTGGGCGCCGACGCCTACGGCAACCTGCCTTGTGCCTCCTACGACCAAAACATCCCCGGACTCTGCAGTGACCTCGCCAAAGGCGCCTGCGACAAGGCGGACGAAGGCGCGCTGCACGGTCCGGCCGAGGCCAATTTCCGCATCTACCCCTGGATGCGGTCTTCAGGTAGGCGCAGCCGCCGGGCGGGCCGGAGGGGCGGGCGGGCGCGGAGCCCGGAGCGCGCGGGGCTGCGGAGCGCGGAGCCCGGAGCCAGGCGGCTGCGAGACGGCGGCCCCCTGACTCCTGGCGGCGCTGCCTTTCTGGTTTTAATTAGAGTCGAGGCGCCATAGCGTGGAGAGCCCGTAGCATTGTATGTAAATGAGGCTCATAAAACTTTTTATGGCCCAATTAATGGATTCAATCCTCATAAATTTATTTAACTCCATTTGCCTTGGAATTTTAACATTAACTTTATTTGTTCGCTGTTCTCTCCCTTTCTCACTCCCTTTCTCCTCTGTCCTTCCCACCTCCTTTTCCTTTCTGCCCGGCTTTTCTCTCTTAAAAGCAGGAATAGCCTAGCCCGTCAGGGCCCCTCGCAAGCCCTGAGCCAGGGGCCATGGAAAGGCTGAGGTGGGGGTGGGATCGGGGACAGAGGGTCGGAACGCCCCAGGCAGGTCTGGGGATGGGGGCGCAGGCCACTGGGGAGGAAGGGGGCCCCTGGAGTGAGGACCACGGGAGGCTGCCCACTGGCCTAGCCGGGCGGGAAGCGTCCCGTCTCGTCTTTGAATGACAAAAGTGCAGCGTCTCCCACTCGCCCACACTCTATATTTACAATTTCCCTTTGTCAGGGGGAGGCGAGACATTGTGGAAGCCTAGCCGGCTGGAAAGGGAGGTTGTAAAGTCGGGATTCTGCGCCTTCCCTCCTCAGGGAGCTGCCTGTGCGTCTGGCCCCGCAGTTGGGGTCTTCCCCATCACTCGCGCTCCTCCCCCAGCTCGGCTGGGGCGGAGGGAGCCGCGCCCCGGGTCAGGGCTGGAAGGAAGGTATGATGAGCTCCGGGGCGGTGGCCTGGCTAATGCAATGTCCTCTCCGTGTCCCTGTCGGCGTGTCTGTCCGCGTGTCCCCACGTCCCCACGTCTGCTTGCAGGGCCTGACAGGAAGCGGGGTCGCCAGACGTACACGCGCTACCAGACGCTGGAGCTGGAGAAGGAGTTCCACTTCAACCGCTACCTGACCCGGCGCCGCCGCATCGAGATCGCCCACGCGCTCTGCCTCACCGAGCGCCAGATCAAGATCTGGTTCCAGAACCGCCGCATGAAGTGGAAGAAAGAGCATAAAGACGAGGGGCCAGCCGCAGCCGCAGCCCCCGAGGGCCCGGCGCCCGCCGCGGCGGCCTCTGCTGCTGCGGCGGACAAGGCGGACGAAGAGGACGAGGACGAAGAGGACGAGGAGGAGGAGGAGGAATGAGGGGCCCAGCCCGGCCCTTGGCTGCACCAGACAGTCAGGAAAGCGTCTTTAGAGACTCACCGATTTTATTTACAAAAGTGGAAAAATAAAAAGGAAATGTAAAAAAAAAAAGAAAAAGAAAAAAAAAAGAAAGAAACAGTCCCCAACCTGTACCCCAGCTACCCCATTACCCACTCCAGCTTCCAACTTTTCTGGACAGCAGCCGCCCAGACTGGGTCCCCCTGGGGATCCTCTCTGCCTCCGAGGACCCCCAGCAGACACCCCCCCTCGTCCTAAGGCCGGCTGGCTCTGAGCTGGCATGGCTGAAATACTACCTAGCACAGGCCTCGGAGAGAGGCACCCCCAAACTACCTATGGGCCCAGCCCCAGCGGGCCTCCACTCCCAGGAAGCCCAGAGTGTCCCAACACTGGCAGACACCCAGCACCTCCCCCACACCGTCAAGGACCTGACTCTCTCAGTACTACCTACTTGTCCCAAACTACCTATTTTGTGCTCCCTGGCTTGCCTGCTACCTAGTGCCGGCCCCTCCCAGGCCAGGCCCCTGCTGCTTGCAGCTGGCAGCCTGTAGGGTCCCTGAGGCTGCACTGAGAAGGTGCTGGGGTCTGGGGACCAGGGCATTGGCTTCTATTTAAATTGAAAGATAATATATTTATTCCAAAGCATTCTAAGTGCTGCAACCTAGAATCCCTCTTCTCCGGCCTGGGTACTCCAAGTTCAGGCCCGTCACCCCCCACTTCTGGAGGGGAGCATTCCCAAGCTACCTGCAGATTTCTGGGTTAGCTTCTGCTTAGTAGGACCGCAGAGATGCTCCCAGCCTCCCTGCCCCCTCCCTGCCCCCGTGTCCTACTGCCCAGCCATGTTGACTATGTACACCCTGACTTTTCCTACAGTAGCAAATATTGTATATTTGAACAAGATTTTTTTTTGTCATTTATATAGTCTTGGAGCTCATTTGTAAGGCAATGTCTTGACTTGGGAAGGATGTGTTACTGGGGTGACTTTGTAGCATGGTGTGTTGTCTTGAGCGAATCCCGTAGCAGGTGGGGAGAGCCAATGCCCTCCCCAGTGCCCTTCATCTCCTGTGTTGTCCAGCATCCCCCTCTGGTCCCCCTCAGCGCTAGCCTGGGGTTCCAGGAACAGGAAGGTATGCTTCCGGTCTTGCCCAGCCAACGATGTTTTATGTAACAAAAAAATAAAGATGCTTGGTGACAAAGAACCGTGGACTGCTTTATGGGGGGCTGGGGGGTGCTGGGAAAGAGGGTGACCATGGCTGGAAAGCAAGCCCTGGCTCTGTGTGTGTGTGTGTGTGCGTGCCTGTGCAAAGGGGCTTCAGGGGGGCAAGAGTGGGAGCACAGACAGGGTCCAAGTGCTGGGTGTGCGTGAATTGGTGTGTATGCGTGTCAAATTCTTTTTTCGTGTGGATTTTTAAAGTGTGGGTTTATATACGTATGTGTGTGCCTCTTGTGTATAAGTATTTCTTTGTACGCGTGCCTTTGTGTATGTATTTCTTTGTACACCTGCGTGCAGTTTTGCATGAGCCCATAATTGTATGTATTTCCGTGTCTGATGGAATGGAAGTGTTTCTGCGTGTAAATAATTGTATGTATTTCTCTGTCCATAATTCAGTGTATGTGTTTCTGTGTGGCCATAGTTGAGCGTGTGCCTTTCTCTGGGTGGAGATTTTTGTCTGGTGTGAGTGTGCACGCACCCTCAGCTTCCAGGTACTTTGGAAACGAAATCTTCGATTGGTACATTATGTTCTATGAACCTCCCTAAAAGCCTCCATCAAGTCCAAGCGCAAATGTAAAATCCGCTCTTTCCTCTAAGGCTGTGGGGTGGGCTCGCAGAGGGGTCTCACCCTGCCACCCATCTGGAATTCTCCACGAGCCCTGAACCTAATGCCAGGCTGGGGGGGGTGGGATTCAGGACCTCTGACGCAGGCCGCCCCCACCCCGCGCTCCGGCTAAGTGAGGGTCTGGCACCGCAGCTCAGAACCCCGAGAGGGGGCCAGGGCCGCAGACCCCCGCGGGAAGCGTGGGCAGGGGCGTCTGGGTGCCCGGAACGATGAGGGGCTGGGGAAGGGGCGAGGGGCGGTGCGGCTGGCGCACGCCGGGGCGAGCGAGGCCGGCGAGGGCCGGGACTGCAGCCCGCCGCCCGGGCTGGGCCCGCTGCTCGTTGCTGTTTTATAAAACCCGGCCCAACTGGGTCTGCAAATCCTGCGGCCCCAAGTCGGGGCGGCCTCCGTGGTAAGATGGCGCCGGTGTAAGAGCTGCCTCCTCTTAGAGATGGGGAAAGGGTCATAAATCCGTTGTTGTTTATGAAAATTTACAACTTTGCAATACAACTTTATGAGTTGTTCGGCCCTTCCATTGGCCGCTGTCGGTCATGTGGATGGGAACCGTGAACATGAACTTTTTTATAATTTCCCTTGCGAGAATAGAGCCGCATTCTTTTGCTCCGCTCCGTCCTGCCTGCTTCGGAGCTCTGCCTCGCAGCCCGGCTCCGCTGCGCTTTGTCCGGCGATGGAGAGCGAGACGAGGCCCCGGGCCGGCCGGGCCTGGCTGCTCCAGCGGGAGGTGGGGCGCGCCCCGTCCCCGGCGCCGCGGCGGCCGCTTTGCAACTCGCAACCTGGCTAATTTCCTGCGTCCTCTGGCACCAGGAAGGAGGACAATCCGTCTCCCCGGGCTGCCCAAGCGACAGCTGTCAGAGGGGCAGGAGCTTCTGGGAGCCGCCATCTGAAGGTGAGACATGTGGGGAGACAGGAGCAAAGGTGATGAGATGGCAGCCGCGCCGGCGGGGGCGGGAGAGGGCACCCGGGGCGGCTTTGAAGGGGGCGTACTGCCGGGCCACCCCCACCCACCCGTGCACATTCGCCCCCTCGTCACAGGACACGACAGTCCCCCACCACCGCAGACACACACACACACACACACACACACTCACACGCCCTTTCTCCTCTCCCTGGCTCACAGTGGCAGCGAATGCCCGCCTTCCTTCCGGGGGCACAGCGCCCTGGCACCGGGGCAGGAGCCCTGAGGTCTCTCTCCCCCTTGCCCAGCGACCTGGCCGAGCCCCAGAGGAAATGACCCTGCACCCTGCGTCCCCTGCCAGCCTCTCGGATTTGGATTTTTTTTTCCTTTTTTTCATGAATGACCAAATTGGTTCGATTGAATTCCCCAACGACTGGGGCTGGGTCCCGACCTGGTAAGGCGGGAAGAGATGCAGGCAACGTGAATTTGTCGACAGGCGTTTTGTAGCATCAACACAGTAGTACCTTCGGTTCCCTGAGAATTGGTTTCTGGAAAGAGAGGTAGAATCGGGGGTGGGGGGAGACGGGGAGGGAAACACACAGAAACTTACTAATTCAGCCAGAGACCTCGGCGGACCGCCCGCTTCCTTCCACGCGGTTTTCGGACGAGAGCGATGTCAGGAGCGCGGGGACAGGGAAGAGGCGCGCGAGTGGAATTCTGTGTTGAAGGAGAGGATGGGGTTAATTGGCTGGGTGTTGCTTGGCGGGAAGTTTCGGTGCAGAGGGTTGAGTGGTGTTGTTACGAAGGGCAGGCGCCCGCTGCTAAGGTTGAAGGGAGGACGGCCCAGCGAGTCTGGGCGGTAGTGGGAACCCCCACCCACCCAGCTCGGCGCAGCGGGCCGCAGACCGCTTACCACCTTCGGCGAGGGGTGGACAGGACTGTGGAGCTTCCCGGGCGTAGGCGGCGGAGGGGACCGCGGGGTTAGCTTTACGTCGCACGGTGGCACACAGCGCGGTTTGGTCTGGGTACCTCTCGGCGGGGTTTGCCCCGGAGCTCCCCGGGACAGCGACCAGAAACCACCCAGAGGTTTTGGGCTCCAGTTCTTTACGTTTGTGTTTTGGTTTATGTTGTTGTTTTCCCACCTTAAGATACTACCTTGGTGTGCATGAGATAATGAAGGAGTAAGTGGCTGTGGAGGTTCGAAACGCCCGCGGGCACGGTGGGTGCGCTTAGGGCAGATAAAGCGGCGCATTTGCATTGCAGGGCGGCGGGCGGCCTGACTGCGGCTGCCGCGGGCCCATTATTTATTGCGGCCGAGCCCGGGCGGCTCGCTGCTGCCACGCTGTGGCCATCTCCGGGACCGACGCCAGCCGCAGCCCCGCGTCGTGCAGCCTGGCGCGACTGCTGCTCGGGCCCCTCGCAGATTCCCAAGCAGGCCGAGCAGAGGGGGGCGAGGGAGGACCCGAGGGGCGGTCTCCCAGGGCCTTACTGGCCGGGAACCTCCCCCGCCTTGGCCACCTGACAGGAGCTGGACGCCCGACTACACTCGGGTCCCCCCTCCCCCCCTGCACCATGGAGACTGGTTGCACAGGCCGCCTGGCACGTCATGGCTGCTTCAGCCCAAACTGCGCGTCCCAAGGCGCCCTGGGGGCGCAGGCTGGTTCGGGGAACGCAGCGCTTTGGGATTTCGAAATCACAGAGACCACTGGTAGTCCTGAGGCCTGCAGGCCTGGCTGGCCCTGAGGAGGATTGGCTATGGCAAGGAAGGCGGGCTTTGGCTCCAGGCGAGAGCCGGTGACAGGCACAGGCCGCACCTGTGTGCTGTGGGCTCTGGTCTGGGCTAGAGATCAGGGCGGAGGAGATGGCCTTCAAGGTCCCCCCAACACCGGCAGGTCGCCCTCCAGGCTGGCAGAGGTCGAGGAGCTCAGTGGGCCGCCCAGGGAAAGGGCGGCTTGTGGGGGCCTGCTCCCCATCCTGTCCCCTTTGAAGAGAAGCTGAAAGGTAAGTGGACTTTCTGTGTGGCTTTGACGGAGAAGAGAGAGCCCTGGTGACCATTCTCGCCATCCCAGGAAAGGACCCCTCCACTGTCTGCGGCTCATATATTCTTGCCTGATTCTCTGTGTATATATGTGTGTGTGTGTGTGTGTGTGTGTGTGTGTGTGTGTGTGTGTGTATTCGCTGGTTGGAGAAATAAATTTGGGTGGCTGCCAGCATGATATTTACCAGCCTTGGCTAACATGTATAGATTTCAATTTAATATATTTTCCATCTTAGTGCCTATAGAAACTAGAAATATAATGTGTTTTTTTGGCTCTTAGCTGAGAAACCAAATTATCTTGTTGGCTGGGACTCTTAGGAGATTGAGAATCCAGGTCAAAATATCACAAATAATAGTAACAGCAGTAAACTGCCACCAACCCCAACACTGTGTGTGACCTGGAGGAGTGAAGCAGAAATTATAAACGTAACCATTTGTTAACATCTCCAAACGGGTTTTCTCGTCTTATGTGATAACTTGCTGGAAATCACTGTCATCTCACGGTCTGGTGTAAGAAACAATAACTCAACATGATTTTCTTGGAACATAGCTTTAAAAAAATAATTCCCCTGAAATGTTTTGACTCTGGAGTTTTTATTTTCACCTCTCAGATCCTTTGCCTGAAGAAATGCCAGGGAAATACAAAATTCTACCCTTTCCTGCCAGGCCCATTTTCATATATGCAAAAGAGAAACTTTCTCAGCTGGGTTGATTGGGGCACAACCAGAAGGCTTCCAGGCACAGCCCCCAGGGGTGAAACAGCCGCCTTCAAGGCTGTGCCCTGGGTTCCGTGCACCTAACTGACCTCAGCCCAGTTCTTTTCCATTTTTGTTCCTTTTGGGGGGAAGTGAGGGTGGGGGTGGGGGATTGAGAAGCAAGGAAGAGATTAAGAAAACCATTTCCAGATTCCTAGGGGGCCATGGCCACCCCCACAAGTCCTGAACCCCATTCTCTGCATTTGCCAGAGTTTTACAGAGCTTATAAACACCCTCCGGAAATTCAACCAAATCATATAAATAGTCTTTCTTCAGTCTTCACAGAATTGAGGATTTTAAAGCTAATTCAAGGGGTTTTACAAGTCCCCCAAATACAGTCGTAAAGATGCCCTTGGAAAGATATCACATTTTACAAAATGAGATGGATCCTTGCGCTGTGAAAGTCGACTCTCTCGAGGGCGCACCTCTCAGGCAAGAGAGGGCAGCCCAGGACAGGCTTTTCACGTCCCGTTTGGGCAAGGCCAGGCCCGGGACTGCGATAAAAGCAATTCAGACGATTCCTGGAGCTGGTGAGACAACTGGTCCCCGTCCTGGAGCGACTGTCCCGGGCAGGCCCCTGACCAGTTCCAGGAGACGCAGAAAAGAGGACACAGCCCAAGACGGGGCCCGGCGTGGGGCGCCCCAGACACTAAGCACATCGATTGTCCCGCAGACTTGGGCCCAGGCGAACTGCCCTCTGTGGCCTGTTGGGTCAGAGACCCTGATGCGTCCGCCCCTCTGGAATGAAGACAGAGATTCTCTCTGTGGATCCGTCTCAGTTCTGAGAGGTCCGGGGGGCGGGGGGCGGTTTCCCGGGCTCTGCACGAGGCGAGCAGGTCCCGCGGCTGGCTTCGGAGCTCAGTCTCAAGGCCACTCCTCTGCAGGTCCCTTTCCTGTAGAAACCAGTGGTGTCTGGCCTATCGGCTCCTGGTTTCAAAGGCGGAACGGGGATGCACAGCTTGTGGAGGTGGAGGTGCTTTGAGGCCGGGCAGTCGCTGGCCACTGGAGCGCAGGGAGTCGGGACTCAAAGATCTGATGTACGTGGGAGGAGGGGCCGGCGGGGTAGGAGGGTACCTTTGGCGGAGTCCTGGTCAGCTCCAGGTGCGCCTTCCGCCTTCAGCGGCCGGCAGGCCCAGGCACTTGATGGGAGTGGGGAAGGAGGAAAGGAGGGGGATGCACCAATTCCTAAGGCGCAGGAGTGCGGAGCAAGGAGCTCGGGCCTGGTTTCTCAGAGCCCTTCTCCAGCTGCAGAGCCGCACCCACGGGTAGAGCCGTGCAGGGGGAGGGGCAAACTCCGGGCCCTGCCAGGAGGGCAGGACGCAGAGAGCAAAGCCATCCCTGTCACCGCCCCTCTGAGCTCAGGGCTGTCAGGTTTCCTGTTTGGAGAGAAAACCCAGCAAAATCCAACCAGGCAAAAAGGGGAGGAGGAAAGAGCGGGCCTGGTGGGGCCTGGCGGCGGCCCGGGAACACGGCCCCAGCCCCGGCCTGAGCCCCACACTCCCGTCCGGGCAGTGCCCGCCGCTGGCGTTCGGAAAGGGAGACGGGCCGGCCGGCTGTGCGCGCCCATTAATCTGCCGGGCGGGCGGCGGGCGGGCGGGCGGGCTGGGGGCTGTTTGTAACTTTGCTGCCTCGGTCGCCGCGGTCCCCGGGGAGCGGGCTCCGGCGCTCGCTCCCATTGGCCGCCGCCGCGTCAGCTGGTGCGATTTGCTGCTGTCGCTTTTGGCGTTCGGCCATCCAGAAACAAACCAGTTCGATGACTACTAATAGTTATAGCCAGATGTACTAATACACAACAAATCACAGTCCTGCAGAGGGGCGCGCAAATGAGTTCTTATTTTGTGAATCCCACTTTCCCCGGGAGCCTGCCCAGCGGCCAGGACTCCTTCTTGGGCCAGCTGCCCCTCTACCCGGCCGGCTATGACGCGCTGAGGCCCTTCCCGGCTTCGTACGGGGCGTCGAGCCTCCAGGACAAGACGTACACCTCACCTTGTTTCTACCAACAGTCCAACTCGGTCCTGGCCTGCAACCGGGCGTCCTACGAGTACGGGGCCTCGTGTTTCTATTCTGATAAGGACCTCAGTGGCGCCTCGCCCTCGGGCAGTGGCAAGCAGAGGGGCCCCGGGGACTACCTGCACTTTCCTCCCGAAGCACAGTACAAACCCGACAGCAGCAGCGTGCCGGGCAAAGCCCTGCATGACGAAGGCGCCGACCGGAAGTACACGAGCCCCGTTTACCCCTGGATGCAGCGGATGAACTCCTGCGCTGGTAAGGCATTTCCCGCAGCAGCTAGCCCCCCCCCCCCAAGAGAGTGGAGGGAGAGGGGGAAGGAGGCAAGGAAAGAAGGAAGGAAGAGGCATAGAAAGTCGACAGAGGAAGTAGAAAGACAGAAAGAATGAGCAAAGTTTCTTTGGCTTAAAAAAAAAAAGATATTAAAAAACCCCCATCCCATTCCCCATGGTGCCATCAAGCCGTGGCAGAGCGAGGGCAGGGCACTAGTGTCCATGTAAGGTGACACCTTAGGGGGTCATGTTTGTGAGTGTGTGTGGGGGGGGGCGGTCACTGCCATGCTATGTGAGACTGAAAACAAGGGCAACCTGAAGAGAGAGCCAGGCTGGGTGGGAGGGAGCTCCTGCCCACACTGCACCCTGGTGACCCCCTGCTCAGGTCCCCAAGCCCAGGTGGCCCTCTGCACCCATCCCTGGTAGCTCCCCCTCACCGCCCACCCCCTCTCCTTTCCGCCCTTCAGAAACTCACATAGCTAGAGGCCCTGATTTGGCCTCTTCCAGGGTTACCCCAAAGCCTTGGAGGGCCACATGCACAACCTCAGTATTTCTTCTCTCTCCTCCCTCCCCTCCTCCCCCTTCATTTAACTGCTCACTTACAGACAACTTCTGCCTCCTCCTGAGACCCTGCCTGAGTCTCAGACCCCCAGCCTGGGGAGGGGGGCCCAGCCCATGGGCCCCTTTGGCACCAGCACAGACAGCCCATTGCAGCCCTACGTTTCCAGGAACCGCAGATGGCCCATCGCGCCATCTCTTTGCCCCTGGTTTCCAAACGCTCCACAGGGAATGCTTGGAGCAGGACAGTGCCTAATGCACATTTTAAATTTTACAGTGTTTTTGCTTTAAAATCCACTTGTTTCTTTTTTTTTCCCCCTCCAAGGAAGCTCTCTGTTTCTCAGAAAGGTCATACAATTTGGGGAAATTTGCAAAGACTTAAGAAGGCTGACCATTTTTAATTTTCCCCAAAGCGCCTTTGAGTCCTGAGATGGCTGGCCACAGTAACATCTTCACAAAAGTCCCTTTGCGGATTTAGAGTGTCTGCCCTACTCATAGGGTCCCACACCCCCACTCCCAGACACACGTACACCACGCTCCCACAAAACAAGACTTAGGTACCCAGAATTAAAAATGCTCATTGTAGTGTTTTGCTTGCAATGGTATTCTTACAGAGAAGATTTTTCAAAACCAATAACTTCCCACCCCAAGCAGTTTTAGGTGGCAAACATCTCGCTTGGTGTGAAATAATCTTCTCCCATCCAGACGGCTTTTGGCCCAAGACTTATGGGAGAGGCTAGAGTGGAGGAGGGTGGTTACCAGCCTAGAGGCCAGGGGCGCGGGGCTCGGGGTACCGGGTACGGGGTGGACTGGCTCTGCTGCCCGGGTCCTTGCTCACCGGCGTCTGGCCATTTCTGCCTGCAGGTGCTGTGTACGGGAGTCACGGGCGCCGAGGCCGCCAGACCTACACGCGCTACCAGACGCTGGAGCTGGAGAAGGAATTCCACTTCAACCGCTACCTGACCCGGCGCCGCCGCATCGAGATCGCCAACGCGCTCTGCCTCACCGAGCGCCAGATCAAGATCTGGTTCCAGAACCGCCGCATGAAGTGGAAAAAGGAAAATAAACTCATCAATTCCACACAGCCCAGCGGGGAGGAAGCTGAGGCAAAGGCGGGCGAGTAGACGCCTGGGCAGGGACCAGGCCGGTACCGCAACCTCCCTCGGCTTTGCCCCCTTGCCTTCGCCTGCTCCCCAACTTTTCTCCCCGCCTGCTACCATTTGGGGGGCTTACGCAGCTTCAGGGGAGCCCGGAGCTTTGCAAACGCCTGAGCGCTTATTTCTTACAAAAGAAACACACACACACACACACACACACACACACACACACACACAGCCAACCCCAGCGGTGGAGCGGGGCGCGCTGCACTCACAGCCCCGCTCTCCAAGGCTGCCCAAGCCCTCTCCGGATCCCAGGGCGAGCCCCAAAATTCGTCCCCGGCTCTTGTGCTAAAGCCTCTGCGTGCCCCTGAGCTCGAGACGCAGGGTTGCTGGAGAGGGAAGAACCCCAGGACCGAGCCGCTTTTGGTGTCTGGGCATTTTGACCTCGGTTCCTCGCCACCAAGTCCCGAAGGGCACCACCAAATCAACTCCGGCCACTGCAAAGAGGGGCGCCTAAAGCTCGGGGCCCTAGCACTGCGGTAGCCTCCCAGACCGCCCCCAGCCAGGAAGAAGCTTGAGGAACAAAGGGGGCCCCCCGAGAGAACCTAGTCTCTCGGCCCCGCTCGCAACCGTCCGTGGAAGAGAAGCAAGCAGCCTCAGTCGAGCCCAGTCAACCTGGGCTCGGGCGGAACTTTACAGCCTGGGAGCGACTGGGCGCCGGTGGGCTCTGGGCTCCGGATTCCGGCTCCCCGCCTCCGACAGTGCTGGCGCTGCCACCACAGCAGCTTTCAGGACCTAAGAAGGGGGTCCAGGGCCATGGGAGCGGCAAGAATCACGGTTTCCAAGCGTGCCAGGGGCGCCTGCTACGCCGGGCCTCCAGCGGGGAAACCCTCCCATGCCTTTCGGCTACATTTGTGATTTACTTTCATCTTTCAGATCCCAAGAAAATAACTACGGAGATACTAGGCACTGACTGCCACGAAATGCTTCCATTAACGCCCTGGTTTTACTCCTGGAGGTCTAAGCAAGACCCTGAAAACTCGGCCCACGGATCCCCAGCCCCCAGGAAGATTCTGTGGCTGCGGGGAGCCTGGGCCCACTCGCTGGGTTCACCGAGAACCCTCCGACTTGGGGCCCGGCTGGCTCCAGGAAAAGGACCCAGTGGTGAAGATTCTCCAGGCTGGATACTTAAAGCAAATCAAATAGGAAACTAATGACACGAAAACTATATTCACCCGAAAGAAAAATCGAATCTGGTTATAAAAGTGTATGGAATTTGACCTCGCCTCGGAGAAACACTACACAAAAGATATCCTTAATAGACGCCTGTCATTTAAGAGCGGCAGGGACGCTGTCCCTCATGCGCTCGCAAAAACAGAGCCGTAATTGTAGCTGCTGCTGTGGGCAGGATTTATTTCTCCAATTGGTTAAATGGCCTCCCCCCCTTCCCCGAAGGTGATATCTGTATTTCCAAATTTCAGAGCTGCCGGCACGACGGGCAGAACCGGCCCCAACCTCGACACAAAAATAAGAGGGGCTGCACAGCGGGGAAATAAAATTGTTGTAAATAAAACCCAAGTCACCATCTCCCCCCCAGTCCTCTGCATCCTCGCCGGGCACGCGATCGGCAGCTGACGGCCTCACAATTGGTACATCCTAATGGAACTGCGAGGGAAATGCAATAATTTTGCTATAATGGGCTGTAACCTCAATTCGACCCCGGCCCTTGCAGCCCCGGGTCGGAAGCGGAGCGATACACCGTGCTTCCAGCGGGTGGCGCTCGAGTCCGACTGAACGGCGGCGGCGGGCGGCGGGCACGCGCCTGGGGCGCGCGCGCCACCCCTCTCGCCTCCACCCAACTCCCCCATTAGTGCACGAGTTTACCTCTAGAGGTCATCAGGCAGGATTTACGACTGGACAACAAAAGCACGTGATTCGAAGTCGTACCCCATATTTGGGTGCCTACGTAGGAGGGAACCAAGTACATGTCCCAGTCATTTCCATAATTCATCATAAATTGTGCAAGGGTGCTATAGACGCACAAACGACCGCGAGCCACAAATCAAGCACACATATCAAAAAACAAATGAGCTCTTATTTTGTAAACTCATTTTGCGGTCGCTATCCAAATGGCCCGGACTACCAGTTGCATAATTATGGAGATCATAGTTCCGTGAGCGAGCAATTCAGGGACTCGGCGAGCATGCACTCCGGCAGGTACGGCTACGGCTACAATGGCATGGATCTCAGCGTCGGCCGCTCGGGCTCCGGCCACTTTGGCTCCGGGGAGCGCGCCCGCAGCTACGCGGCCGGCGCCAGCGCGGCGCCTGCCGAGCCCAGGTACAGCCAGCCGGCCACGTCCACGCACTCGCCTCCGCCCGACCCGCTGCCCTGCTCCGCCGTGGCCCCCTCGCCCGGCAGCGACAGCCACCACGGCGGGAAAAACTCCCTGGGCAACTCCAGCGGCGCCTCGGCCAACGCCGGCAGCACCCACATCAGCAACAGAGAGGGGGTTGGCACGGCGTCCGGAGCCGAGGAGGACGCCCCCGCCAGCAGCGAGCAGGCGAGCGCGCAGAGCGAGCCGAGCCCGGCGCCGCCTGCCCAACCCCAGATCTACCCTTGGATGCGCAAGCTGCACATAAGTCATGGTAAAGCCAGCTTTTTTCTAAAACCACGCGGCAGCGGCGGCGCGGCTCTCGGTCCCCTTCTCTCCTTGAACGCCCTCTCTCCCCGTCTCTCTCCTGGTCTCGCCTCTCCCAGCCCCGTGGAGCCTCTCTCCGCCGTCTCCTTCCCTGCCTTCCTCCATCCTCCTCCTGGTCTTTGCAGAGCCCTGGCTCGCAAGTGTGTGGGGGAAAGGGCCAATGGATAGGCAAGTTTAGGCGGTGAAAGGGGGAAAAGGATGAAACCCATGTCGAGCCCCAGAGCCTCCGAACGCGCTCCTGGGTCAGACCAGCCAAGCAGGGCGCAGAGAGGTAGAGGATGGCAGTAGGGGCTGTGAATCGGGCTTGTCAGGACGGATAATTTATGAGGAGGGCTACGCTGGGGAAACAGCGTTACTAATTAGAGTCCCCGAAAAGGGGCTTGGGGGGGGGTGGAATAATCCAGGCGGGAGCCGGCGGGATTCTGGAGTTTGGGGGCAGGAGGAAGAGCAGGAAAGGAAAGGGAAGAAAAAGAAAGCAGGCGCTCCAAGCGTGCAGGCTGGAACAGGAGACGGCTCTTGGGGCTGGAACTTTAAGGGAGGGTAACCTGGAGGCCACTTAGGCGCTCAGAAAAGGGCCTTGCTTTCGTGGGTTTCTGAGTGGTGGGCAGCCTGGAAGGGCTGTGCCCCCGCCTCGGGGCGCCAGGGGCAGGGCCAGAGGGCAGGAGAGGGCCGAGGGAAAGCTGGGCGATCCTCCGGGTCGTGTCTCCAGCCTCGGATGGGCCGATTGTTCCCAGGGTCCAAATTGTATTGTTTTCTCTGTAGAAAGGAAGAGGGAAGGAAATTCGGGAGGGGTGGGCGGTCGAGGCGGAAAGACTTGTTGAGCTTTTCTCCCCTGTACCTTGCTCAGCACCCTGACTCGTCCAGCTGGCCCGACTTTGGTGGCCAGGAGCTCACGAGTTGGTGGCTAAACCGCTGACTTTTCTGTTGCAGACAACATAGGCGGCCCGGAAGGCAAAAGGGCCAGGACGGCCTACACGCGTTACCAGACCCTGGAGCTGGAGAAGGAGTTCCACTTCAACCGCTACCTGACCCGCCGAAGAAGGATTGAAATAGCACATGCTCTTTGCCTCTCCGAGAGACAAATTAAAATCTGGTTCCAAAACCGGAGAATGAAGTGGAAAAAAGATAATAAGCTGAAAAGCATGAGCATGGCGGCGGCGGGAGGGGCCTTCCGCCCCTGAGTATTTGAGCGTTTAAAGTACTGAGCAGTATTAGCGGATCCTGCGTAGTGTCAGTACTAAGGTGACTTTCTGAAACTCCCTTGTGTTCCTTCTGTGAAGAAGCCCTGTTCTCGTTGCCCTAATTCATCTTTTAATCATGAGCCTGTTTATTGCCATTATAGCGCCTGTATAAGTAGATCTGCTTTCTGTTCATCTCTTTGTCCTGAATGGCTTTGTCTTGAAAAAAAAATAGATGTTTTAACTTATTTATATGAAGCAAGCTGTGTTACTTGAAGTAACTATAACAGAAAAAGAAAAGATAAAAAAAAACCACACAAAAAAGTCCCCCTCCGACCCCGTTTAGTGCCAATGTTGTGTGCTGCACTCCAGTTGTTTAACTGTGCATGTGAGTGGAAGTGTTCCTGTCTCTCTAGCTCCAAGCTGTTAAAGATATTTTTATTCAAACTACCTATACTCCTTGTGTAATTAATGCTGTTGTAGAGGTGACTTGATGAGACACAACTTAACTTGTTTGACGTGTAGTGACTAGTGACTCTGTGACGAAAACTGTGACTCTGAGCGGTGTGTCCCTGCGTGCCTTTGTAGGACCCTTTGCACGAACTCTGGAAGTGGCTCTTATAAGCGCAGCTTCAGTGATGTATGTTTTTGTGAACAAAGTTACAAATATTGTCCAAGTCTGGCTGTTTAAGCAAACTGTGATCAGCTTTTTTTTTTTTTTTGTATTTGTTTTTAAGGAAAAAAAATACTGACTGTAAACAAAAAAAAAATAAACTTTCTATTGTAAGTTCTCTTGGTCTGGTTTGTGCCAAATAGTGAGCGGCTCTTTTTGCTCTTCTGTCTGTCTGTCCAGTCTTGGAAGCGGTGGGTCTGAGGCGACCTGGACAGCCTGACGGCGCCAGGACACCTCAGACTCACACCCTGACCCGCAGCCTCCCTAGCTCTGACCTTTCAGAGAGTTCAGGGCAGAAGGTGGAAAAGCCGTAGGTGCTTCCAAAGCTTGAGTCCAACCTGCCCATCTCTGCAGAAACCAAGTTTAACTTAACTGGGGGGGGGGGGGTGGGGAGGAGAGGAAGAGAGAGAAGGTAAGAAAAAACCAGGGCTTTGTTGGCAAGCCCACAGGACCCACACAGATGCTGCCTGCTTCCTAAGGCCATCCTGGGCCTCCACTGGGAGAGGCTGCTATGTCCAGCTGTGGCCCCCAAACCCTCTGCCCCCTAACCCACCCAGGCACCCCTTCCCAGTCCTCACCCTGAACCCAGTTGGCTTCTTTTGCTACAATTAATTTGCTACAAATGGAAGGTACTTACCCCATCCTAGCTCGATTGAGAAACTCCTCAGAGCAGCTAAAGCGCAACTAGAGATTTGCACATTTACCGACTGCTTACACTGATGCCGTCTTTCCTTTTAAAAGTTATAAAACAGTAAACTTTATAAGCCCCAGTTCCGGCTATATGACATTTGGGTGCCAAATGAATAGGGTTTTGTCTATGAATTAGATCGTAAAATCATCCATAGCACAGACAGATCGGCTCACTGGCTATAAAACGTCACGTGGGGCCATTAAAGTAAGTTTTATGGTTTTGGGGAGTTGACATCCAACATTATATACCACATAACATATAATCTCACTGACGCTGGACTCCATTTGACTCTTTTGCAGGCTACGTGTGCCGCTTGGTCATTCAAATTGTCAATTTTAGGTCCAGAAGTGTCCAAACCACAAGTTCTCAAAACTCTCTGAAAAATGGCTCCCTCCGCGTTAAGGTAAGCTGGCCTCCTGAGCGCTTTCAAGTTTATTTGTCCTCTTAAAAACTTTCTGCCTGGGTCTTTCTCTCTCCCTTTCTCTGCCTGGTTCAGTAACTCGGAAGTTGCCTCTACATTCAAAAGGGGAGCGCAAACTTTTCCTCCGCCCCCCTGGGCAGCGCCAGGAGCCTGCTCTGCGGAGTCCCCACGCTGAGCAGCGCCTGTGGCCGCGCCGCATCCCCAGGCCTAACTTTAATTGCTGCACCACCGCGGCTGTTAATGACTTCCGCTGCTTTCTCCGGCGTGCAAAAAAGATGATTTTTGTGTGCGAATGGGCCTGCGTGTGGCGACTTGGCAGGGCTGCCCCCCATTCCGGGCTGGCGGGTCTCGGCTCTTCGGGGGTCTCGGAGCCCTGGGGTGGGGGCTGGGAGACGGTGGGGCGCGGGCTGCGGGGCGCGCAGGGCCGCGCTGAGCTTGGGAGTGTGAAAGAAAGGCCCGGGCTGGGCCAAGGCGGACTCTGGCGGGATTCCTTGTGGGGCTGTGGCAATATGTCTTCGCAGGCCTGGGTCATTTGGCAGCACTGAATTGAGGCGGCTGCCTTCGGGGCCGGGTTGCAGGCTGGCTCGCGAGAGCCGGAGGGTGGCAGAGGTCGGCGAGGCGCGCGGGCCGCACCTCCAGGCTGGGCCCCTGGGTTGCCAGGCCGAGCCCCAGACCCCGGGGACCGCGGGGACCCCACCTGTGGGGAGGGCTGGGCTGCCCACCCCCTCCCCTGCGCCCGGGACCAGGCCCTGAACCTTGCTGGCCTGCACGTTCTTTTTAGCGCGGTGGGACTGTTCTCACCCGCCTGTGAGTCTGAAGCAATAAACTTTATGGCCGGATTTAACTTTAGTCTTTGAATCCCCAGGCTAAATGAAAGGAGTTAAAGCGCTTTCTTTTCTTCCGCCTTGCCTTTCTTCTCACTCTCTTCTTTCCTCTTCCTCTCCTCTTTTGTAGAATTAGAACATCTAGGCACAGGACCCTCAAAAGGCAACTTAGGCGTCCCCCAAGATAACACTAAAGATTAGAGAAATTCGCCCCCCCCCCCCGCCCCCGACATACAGGAGGAATTCCTCCAAACTGTGCCCTAAAGTTTGGGGGGGAAATCGAGGTGTCTTCAATGCCCAACTTGAAAGTCCCCAGAGCCATTAGGCTGTTTTCCCTGACACGTCATAAAGGGTAGTTGAGGGAAGAAATTGGTCGTTTGTCAGTAGGAGATTTCCGCCTTTCTTTTGTTAGCTGCTCCTTCTGTTCGATCCCAGGAAATTTACATAATCTATGATTTCCAAAACAGTCCTCAATATTGCACCAGTGGGTGAAGTGAGGTAAAATAAAATTTTCCTGGGTACAGTTCCAGCTTGGCCTCAGCTACCCCCTCTGGCCCCAACCCCCACATTCTTCGATGGCAACATGGTCATTGGGGACCCTGTGGCCTGTCCTGGGGTGTTTCTCTGGGTGCGTACCCACAAGGGACCTGGCGGATTTCCCCTTATCCTGTCTGAGGAATTAACCCAAACTCTCCAACTTAGAAGTGAAACAAACAAACCAAAAAAATGGTATCTTCTGTTTCCAGATGCCTTTCTCCTTAGGAACTGGTAGTGTTCTGCAAGTGCTAACTAATAAAGATAAATACTAAGTGCTTACGGTGAAAAAAATTAAAGTCGAGATTTGGAATTTCAACATCCTTTATTGTCCAGAGGCCACTCACACTCAACATTAGTCCAACAGATGTCCCCAAAGTCAGAGGTCCAAAAAGCAAAACCTGAGAAGTTTTCTAAAAAAATGGAAACCCTCCCACAATTCCCACTTCTCCTGAATCGTGAGTGGCAAGGCAAGTCCCTGAAGTCATTTTTTGTAACCTGTTAAAGTGAGCATTGCTATTTCAGGACTCAGGAAAATGTGTCTGCCACTGGCTGGAAACCAAAATAGAAACTCTCTTTGGGTTCTCTTCTATTATTTTAAGTGTCTGTAAGAATTCTGGAGTCTTTGTTTTGCTGCTCTGAGTTTGGGGTTCTCTCCTGGAAAATCCTGGGTGGAGATTTTATGGCAGTGGCTCGTTTATTGGTGATCTTGCTTGAGTAATTTCTTGGTGCCTAAAATTAGTAGCAGGAAAAAAAGAGTTACAGAGCTGCTGGCAGATTCACTTGAGTAACTTTGCCTGGAGGCAGCGGCCACTATCACCTCTGTGGCCACATCCCACCCGGGGTGTGAGGATGGGCAGAAAGGCCATTGGACCCATATCCAGCATCCCACAATATAGGGAAACTTTCCCATGAGTTGAAAGAATTAGAGGCTATAAATATTGTCAGCTTGCTTATTTCTGTCTGTTGTAGTCTTCATAAAACTTGAGAGTGTAAGGAGAAGGCCAACTCACATGGAGTTAAATGACTTTTACAAAAAAAAAATACAGCATCCAGTCAGACCTCTGTGAGCATTCCTGGAGGAATTTTTAAATGTCTTCCTAGTTTCATAGGACGCATAGTAAAGAGGATGGCTGGTCATCTGCTCATTTTGTAGATAAGCTATGTCTTCTCATGCATTCTTTTAGGTGGTCGTTGCAGAGAAACTTACTGAACAAGAAAGTACCTTTCACTGAGGGCTCTAGGAAGACATCCAGCCTCAGCTGGTGGCAGAAGTGTCTGACTGTGGTTCTTGTGTTGCAGAAGGAGCTGCCCGAAACGTGCAGGGCCCCGCTTGTTTCTGCAAGCCAGAGGGACAATATTTCCTGAACTATAAATATAATAGGAAGCTTCTGGTCACACTCACTCAGGGGTTTGTTAGGGTTTCCATGGTCTAATTTCCCAACATTATGCCAAGATTCCTTTTCTTCTGCTCTTTCCTCTGCTTCATTGTTGGCAGCTCTGGGAGAGCCAGACAGAATCTTCTACCAGAAACGGAGTCATGTTCTTGCGTGGTGATGTGAAGAGTATTATATCCAAACAATTAGCGAGGGGAGAGCAAATTGCATCCTGAAAGATGGGCTATGAAAGAGGAAAACGACCCTTTTAGCTTAAAAGATGCCCTTCAAAGCCCCTACCCCGCCTTAGCTTGGGGTCTGTCAGAGGTTTGCCCATCATGGAGAGTGCAGAATAGTGTGGCTCCATCCCTTTGGCTTCTAGGGCAGACATTTTTTTTTTCCCCAGTCAATGATAAAACTGTAAATGGGGCTTCCAGACAGGGCGAAGGGGGTCAGCCTAGGCTTCAGCCCACATAGGAGTGGGGCGCCTCAGTCCTAGCCATTCAAAGCCCCAGAACTGGAAGATCTGCCTAGGTTTGTTTTGTTTGGTGTTTTCCACAAAGAAAGCTTCCTTCTTGCACCGTGTCCCCTCCTCACAAACCAGTCTTTTCAATAATAATATTTGTTATGAAGGTTATTGGGTAATTATTGCGATTTTGTGAAGCAGCCCTTGCTAGAGGTGAAGTCTGTCATCACCTAACAAATGACGCCCGCGCAGTTCACTGCCGGGTTAAGTAAATGCAGAGAAGATAAATCTGCACACCCTAGGAATCGCCAGCAGAGCACGCTTTAGTACAAGTTCACAGTCAACTCGCCTGCCTGGGCCAGCTCACCCAACAATTAGGGCTGCCTCTTTATTTTTAAATAAAGAAGAAAAAGTCTCCAACTTCCATTACCTGCTTTCCCCATCTTTTTTTCTTTTGCTCTTTTGTGAGATTCCCCCACCCCTGCCCCGAATTTTCCTTGTAAATGTAAAGATGAGTGATTTCAAAAATAATCTCACTCCTATTTTAAGTGCTGACAAACAAGGGGCAAGAGGCTGATTTGACAGAAAATACAGTCACAAACACACAAAAATGTCCAGTGCACCCTCTTATTCTAAAAGGCAGCCATAGGGCTTCCCTGAGACCCTGGGGCGGGGGTCTTCTCCCTGAAAGAAAAGGCACAGCTTTGTATATCTTTGTGGTTCGTGCGTTGCAACGGCAGGTCAAAAAGTTGAGGGTCAAAAGTTTACGTTGTGCAGCACTCTTAGTCATCTGCCCAGACGGAGCTGGATGTCAATGTTAGAGCTGCGATCTTGACTATCAGCACAAAAGATAAAACGGCTTGGAGTGACGCGTGTATCACGGTATGGACTCCAGGTGAACCCTAGTGGTTGAATGACCTCAATTACGGAGAAAAGGATAGAAAATTCCTCTTTTTGAGAGTAATACGTGCTGTATTTCATCTTGAATTATTGCTCCCATTCTGAAGGAATAGCAGCAGGTAAATAGGCTTAGATTACTGAAACACCAACACCTTACTTGGAGAACCAGGACGCTATGGGTGGGGACAAAATAAAAGACGCTCAAAGCTCATCAGTGGACATTTAAGAGATGACGTAGGAAGTCTCCAACGTTCTGTTGTACCTTGAGAGGCAAGAGAACTGGCAGGAAACTTCCTTTATTTGAAAACAGTGACTTTGATTTGCCTTTTTTTTTCTTTTTAGTACCCATAATGATCCCTAACGTGTGTGAGAACAAGGCACTTCTTGCAAAAATGTATTCTGTGTAATGTTCAAACACAGAATGCTTTTGCTGAAACTGTCATCCACTAACTGCAAAGAGTTCTTAGAGCTGGGAAGGGAGGAAGGAAATGGAAACCCTCCTCAAAGGGACAGGATTCCTCTACCCCTCCAGCAGCGAGAAAATGCTCATTGGTATCATGAAATTGTCCCTGTTGTTGGGAAATTTCCATTACGTTTATTGTTAACTCTACAGTGAGAAATACTACAATCTGTAAGTGAATAGATACACTGTAAAGAATATGCCATTTGAGCAGGAAGGTGGAATGCACAAATGCCAGAGCAACATCTATTCTCCAGAAAATACTCTTTAAGAATACACATGGAATAAAAGCTAAGGAAGGGGGAAGCAAGCTGAGGAGGAAGGGTGGGGGAGTGGAAAAGAAAGGGAACAGTGTGTTGAGGAAGGCGACTGGAACCGTGCCGCATGTGAGTTGCAACTGGAGAGCCAAACAATATTTTATT